GCATAGAGCATCGACTTTGATTCATCATATTAGTCGGGCTGGCTGACGATTTGTCCAGCGTGTCCCCGCGACCGGAACTATCCACATTGACCTCCAAATCGGACTGTCCCTGTAGGTCGGACAAACTCGGATCATCCGGGGATTTGGGTTTGACCGAATAGATCTCGCCCCAGTTCTCGTAGTGCAACGCTTGAATCAGTTGATACAAATACAATAACAATTCCTAGCAGTATTGGGAGAGAGAGAGAGAAGAAAGCGAGATAGTGAGTGTGCAAGAAGAGAACGGAATGAAGCGCAAAACAAAGATAACACCGGATGAGGCATCTACGATAACTCTTCTGCTCGGGACTGATTATATATATATACATATATGGTGTTCAGTTGTTCGCGGAGCTTGGCAATTGTATTGCAAACGTTTCATCACCAATCGAGGTGACATTCTCAATGCAGTAACTCGATTGGTGATGAAACGTTTGCAATACAATTGCCAAACTCGGCGAACAACTGAACACCAAGTTTTACTACCCGAGCTACAAAAACAACTATCAACACCGTTGTTTACAAAACTGTCATATATATATATATATATATATATATATTTACATATTTATATATGAATGACTCGAGAGAATAAGAAAAACCTGTTTCGTTATCTGACTGACACGGAATGCGAAATTATGGGAGAAACTGGATTAGATGAGTTGCGAGATGGACAAGAATCAGGGAAATCAGAAAATACACGTATTTTTCCCCCTTTATGGTTTATTCGAAATCACAGATAACCGAACCAATCGCTCAGTTTGTTTAGCAAAACCCAGTGTTGGTGTGCACAGGGTCGGACAAAAAAATTTGGAGTTCGAGTTCTTTTGAATGTGTCGTTAGTTGTAAGTTGTGATACTATGTAATTAGTTGTAACCCATCATTCAAAGTGACGGTAACTTCACAAAAAGGGGCACATTGAATTCATCGAAAGCCGAGCGAGCATATGATACGATGATCAAAACTAAGTAAAAAATCCAATTTGGCAGTAGTGCCTGCGCTGCTTTCATTTGTACTACAACAGTTCGTTTATATACAACCTAAAAATAACTAATCTGCGATGGATAAAATAATTTGTCGCGCGGACACCTAAAGGTTGTCTCCGATAAACAAAGTAACCAATTCAAGCGGCGAAGTATGTGATCTGTTTAGTTGTAGCGCATAGGGTGGTGGTGCCGCAGTGGTTTGGTCGCTGTCACAGGCGGGCTTTGGACCCTATGGTTAAGGGTTCGAGCCCCACCACCGCCAACTAACTTCGGTGGTAGGCAGCTTAGCTGCCCTCCGATCCAATACCTCACCTAACCTATCGGGGCCTTATATGCTTCGCCACTCTAAATTCCGGAGTTTAGGCTACCGATTTCCTTTACTGAGCAGCAGATCCTCGTGACCATGGGGCTTTCCCAGTCTGCTATTTATCACAAGAAAATGTGTAATAAAAAAATACGAACAAGGAATCGGACCTTGGGCCAATAAGTAAGCAATAGCGAAGGCGTACAAGCAGTCCAAAAAACGAACGAGTAAGTGCAGGCGCATTGCGTACACCAAGATCTGTTCAAAAAACAATGACAGCAGCTCATGATGTGCGCGACGTTTGACTGTCTGTACATGGGTCGATCAATCAATCAATCAAATTCAATCTTTTTTATTTTGGGTACATTACAAAGTTGATACTATTATTGACGCCCATAGGATCTGTACACACACTGAGCGATATGGCTGGGTGTAGCAAACAGTGGTGTTCGTGCATCTTCTCAATTTCTTCGCAACCTTAGACCACGGAACTTCTCTATTTTCTGTTCGACTCCACTTTCAACTTTCCTTTCTTCTCCTATTCTTCATCCAAATGGGCAGCCAAAAGACAGCAACCAAAACCGGCGCACGAATATGCGTGGTTAATGGTTTTACAAACTGAACTGAACTGAACACACCGGGTTCAACTGGTAGTAGAATTAAATAGTAAATTCGGATATTCAATCACCCACCCACGGGTGCTGAACAGTTCGGTGCACTTCAATGCTTCGTCGAGCCGTGATTTGAATGAGTCGACGATTGGAGAATAAAAAAATTAAGGTGGAAGAAAGTAGTTCCGGGTTTTACAAACTCTGAGACTAAAAGAGTGACGCCAGCACAGTCTAACCGACTCTTTTCGAGCAAAATTTTGAATGAATTCACCCTGAGGTGACCATTCCTAGATAGTGTTAGTAGAGTACTACACAGGTGGTTAGATTGATGGTGTAGTTGATATACAATTATCATGTCTCCCGTATTCGGCGTTATTCACACGAATAGAGTCCGAACTTGGATAGCATACTGGGTGTGTGGTCTAATGCATGCTGATAGCAAACTGGGCAATAGGTCTGCTTCGAACGATCCAAAAGCACGTTTTAGTAATCCAAATTAATTTAGGGCCTTTGACGACCCTCTAACACACGTGCGGGACATCCTAGATCCTCACGAATAGTAACTCCCAGATTCTTTTTGTTTGGAACACAACAGGACATTGGCTGGTTTCCAAGTCAGTATGGAAAACGATCCCTGTGACGCAACGATACAATCTTGCATTGCTCAACGATGAATTTTTTATTACACACTTTCGTGTAATGAATAGCAGACGGGACGAACCCCACAGTCACGAGAACCTGCTGTTCAGTGAAGCAAACCGGTAACTTAATCCCCGTGACTTGGAGTGGTGAACCACATAAGGCCCCGATAGGTTAGGTGTGGTATTGAACCGGACGACAGCAGAGCTGCCTACCACCAAAATTGGACGGTAGTGGTCGGGCTCGAACAGCGAACCATAGGGTCCAAAGCCCGCCTGTGGCAGCGACTAAGCCACTGCGCCTATGATGGTGCATAAATGTGCGTGAGTGTTGACGTGCGAGTGACTCTTTCCCGTAATGAAAAACTGCTCGAAAGACCCTTATGCACATGCATTTTAGTGAGCGCGATCTAACTATCTCTGATAACACCAAAGGGAAACACTCAGTCTCCGCTCATTTTGCACAACCATTAAATGAGCACATTCGAGTACCGATTTAGATTGTTTTCTCAGGACTGCCTGTTTGAATGAAGGACTAATGGGGATGTTGGAATGTACAAATCAGTGTCAGAGTGAAAACAAAACAATTCATAAAGATCACAGTTGTGAGGAAACTGAGAAGATGCACGAACGCGCCATTGTTTACGACCCACAGTCACTCAATATTTCTCACCAGTGACTACTGTGATCCGCATGTCCCCAAACAGTTATGTGTTCGAGTTTTCTGGTCAGGGTTTTCAGAGCCTTGTGCCAGGTCTCAGTTTGATCACCAATTGCTTTTTCCCACCAACTGCCTGGTGTATCCAGTACCTGGGACGTATACCGCTGTTCAAAGGGCGTATGATCCGATGAAGTGGACACCGGCTCTCAATGGATTGTGGTTTTCACACACCGCCCTGTTACCTTGTGGGTCAGGTTTTGGATAGCCACAGGCTACCCAAGAAGATTCCCCTGTCTTGGCATGGGTAACATGGGAGTATTCTGCCCACAAGCAAACCATAGCTCTCTTCACTTTTTATACAGATTATTGTACCGCGCTTTGCTTAGCACACAGTCTGGCCCCAGATGTGTGTAAAATAAAATATACTATATAACAACAGATAATGAATCGAACACGTGCGAACACAGACCCGGTGTAACTCACCTCATCTTTGGCTGCCTGAAGACGAGCCACAGCAAAACGACGAACACACGGATGAACGAATTGCCGATTGAGCAATTCCAGAACGTATTCGGGAGCGACCACAGGCCATTGTTGTAACAATTCCACCGCTTGATCTACCTGTACCGGGTACTCCCAACGCACGGCCAGAAGAAATTTGGCTAGAGCAGCCTGCGTATGTGAATCGAGGCACAGAGTGCAATGGAGAAGTGTGGAAAACGGATGAAGAATTTTAACGAATCATATCAAACGTGGGCAACTCATTGTTTGCGTAACAGAATTTTCAACAATTTGATACATCTATCATTATATTACAAGCCATATATACATACAATACATTTGTATACACATGTAAAAATGCAAAACTCGCATCCGGTCAAAATTTATTCATATATTACCGGGTGATTGTTTCTGATTAGACCGATATAGTACAAAATATGAGACAATCAAACAAACCGACTGCTGCTGCTGCTACTACTACTACTACTCACCTCGGGAAACTTCTCTGCCAAATAGAACCGATACTGCCAAATCCGATCACCATCGGTTTCCGACAGATCGCGCGGTGGAGGCTGATCAAGAACATCCTGAGAACGAGCAGGTGGGGATGTGTGGTCAAACAAAACCGAACGTGTCCCAATAGCACGCACATGTAATGGATTAATTCAACCAAACAGGTCAAATGAATTTTCACAAAAGAGGGGGGGGGTGATTTCGACTTTTAAAATGGTGAACTGGTTTGTGAAATCAGCGCAAAAATTCAAATAGCAAACTGACTATGTGATATGGCAATCCAAATTGCCTGAAACAAACAATTTTAGGTATTATACTTACCAAGGGGCAAAAGACAATTGTGATGCGTACAGTCCCTTTTTCGATAGTAAAATACTCGCCGAGTAAATGGAAAAACAGCAACGATACGCAAGCGTCAGGTGGTGGAAAAAAATCGATGACAACCGGTGGGGGGGTCATCGTATACCTTCTCCTGGCATTCTTCCCCACATTCAGATGTAAGACATTCATTCACCGAAATCCTCAATATGATCAGGGATGGGTGTCTAGAGTTGCGGCTGGTCACCCGTCCCTTGCACCTCACGAAATGCTCCCATATGCCACCAAGCGTCTCAAACAGCCTCTGCTGACTCACTGCCTTCTCGTGGCGAAGGTGTTTTCCCAACAAAGTGAGAAGACGAAAAGCCACAATCCGGGGCTGTAACTGGGTTGGTGGACAACAGGTAGTTCACCTAGGGGATTTGCCCAAAAACCCTGATTCCAAACCAACCAAGAGGAGGGGTACGAACCACACACACACACAC